TAGCATTCTAAGTATGTTTTTATTAAATAATGTAATGGAAAGATCTGATACAATTAAAAAAATAATGAAGCTAAATCTCACAGATCCAATATTATACAAAATAGAAGATACAATTGATATTGGTCTGTCTGCCAATATGGAAGTTCAAAAATACAAAAGATTATCAACATCAAAAGGAAGCATAATTTCAAAATTTTACAAAGATGTTTGTATATTTTTATCTTCACTTGCAACTCACATGTTAGAAAAATCTCCCATAAAATATCTTCTTGTCAGGTGTTCGTCTTGTCTGGATCCAATTCTATTAGCAGATAGCAGAGAAGTAGAGTGTAATAAGTTAAAGTTTTCTAAATTATTGCAACAACTAGTAGCTTCTGGATATTTAAAATCAAAAATTGGGGACAAAGCAAATAAAGAATATTTTCAATTTATAATAAACATTGTTCGTAAACATTATACAGAGTTTTTGTCATTCAAAAAATATGATGATAGGTTGGATATTTTTCTTGCTCAGCACATACCTGTAAATGGATATACATCTCTTTGGGATGTCTGCATAATTTTATTTTGCTTGTCTCATGGCCAGGCTGCTATTGAACGCGGGTTCAAAGTAAATAAGGACTATCTAGTTGAAAATTTAGGTGAAGATTCTCTAATTGCATTAAGAATAGTTCATAATCACATGTTATCAAAGCAACAAAATGCTGCAGATATTCCAATTACTTGAGAAATTATAAAATCAGTCAAATCATCTAGAATGCGATACGATGTTGCATTGGAAATGGCAAAAAAAGTTAAAGAGTTATCAACTGTAAGTTTAAAAAGAAAAGCTGTTTCCGCTGAAATTGATGACATTGTTCGAAGAAAGAAGCTACTTCAAGCATCAGCTGACGATTTAATAAAGGAGGCAGATAGTTATGCATTAAAAGCAAAGGAAAAAAAAGATTTGAGTTTTATAATCACTTCAAATGATTTAAGAATGTTATCAAAAGATAAATTTTTAAAATTGCAAGAGCTTGATAGTTTAGAAAAAGCTTTATGTTTAAAAAGAGATTCAATCATTGTTTGAGTTTCATTTATCTATTTTGTAAATATTTTTTTGTTTAATTTAGTTCCATTAAAGAGTATGATTGTTTAACTATTATATATATATTTATATTAATATATTAGTTTACAATCTTCTTTCTATTTTATACTGACTTTCAAAAAAAAAAAATTTATAAAGTTATTATATGTTATTAAAAACTTAATACTATTACTTTTCGTCAATTTAAAAAATTTATTAGTCGATTTAGTTGAAATATTCTATGAATATTGTTCAATGAAAATGAAAAATTTAATGAAAATATAATAGATAATATTCATTTAATAGGTTACAAAATGTCCTGGAAAATTTAAAAAAAAGTCCTGGAATGTCCTGGAATTTTACTTTTAAAATTTTGTGGCCACCATGTATAATTCTATTATATAGTTCTGATATTTATTCTAGCATTGTAATATTTTCTAGAAAATTTGTTAAAAACAACGTTACATTTGACCAAATTTTTTACACTCTATTTTAATATATATTTTAGATCGCTTTTTTATTTAAACAATTTTTTTTTTATGTTTATCATTTTGTCACTTTTCTGATTATTATAATCTTTTCTTTCACTTGAAATGAACTCTTCCTCAACTTTCTTTGTCAACCTTGGTGCACAAAAATCGAACGTTTTATATAGAAATTTCCTACTAAATTGCTTGCGAGTTTGTTTATAAAAGTAACCTTTATCCATTAACAAATCTTTTCATATTTAAAATATGAAAATATTTGTTAATGCAAATATTGCTTGTGTGTTTGTAATTTTTTTTTTATGTATAAATTGTTCTCTTTAAAAATATATTTTTTTATTTTTAAAATCGGCTAAAATTGTTTGTGGGTTTGTATTTTTTTTTAAATCTTTTTTTAAAAAAAAATTTTTTTTTTAATAAAATTGAAAAAACAACTTACAACATAATTTTGTTTAATATTAATATAAAAATATACTACATATGTGGGATGACAAGGGTGGCAATGCAAATGAAATATTTATACTTTATGTTATTTTCATATTTAAAAGTTCCTTCATTTATATTCTTCTTTGTGAAACATTTTTTTCTAAATTCGAAAAGTTTAAAAATCACTTTGTAAATAAAACTTTCTAATTAAAAATTTCACTAATAAAATCTTCACTAATAAAATTTCACTAATAAAATCTATACTTTTAAAATTGTTTTTATGTAACTTAATTCAAATTTAATCAAACAAATTTTTATTACTATTTATTAAAAAAGATTTAAACAAGTGTGTATCTATTATTTTTACTTTAAGTTGTATTTTTGATACTTAGTTAAAAAAGCAACTATAAAAATATTTTGAAATATATATTCAATAATTTCTTCAACTAATTGTGTATTAGCTATAAAAATATTGTTTATTAAAAAGTTTATTTTATTTTTAAAACCACTAAGCTCTTTACTTCTTTGTTGTTGTTGTTTGTTTTTAATTTTTTAAATTTTTAAAAAATTTTCACTTTACAATTTTTTAATTTACAATTTAATTTAAAATTTTTTAATTTACAATTTAAATACAATTTTTTAAAAATATTTATTAATAAAATTTTTATATTGGTCATTTAAACATATCAAGTTTATTTAAAATGTCAAAACATTTTTAAAAATCTTTAATTACAAACTTATTTACCTTAAAGACGCTTACAAAAACCTAACAAAGAATAAATATTTTTTTGTTGTATAATTACGTTACTTATTATAGCAATTTATTTTAAATACGCTAGATGTTTTTTACGATTTTATTTGTGTAAGTAAAATACAATTCAACCTAAAAAACATTAAATTTTGCTGCTCAAAAAAAAATTGTATATTTTGCATGAGCTTTATTTTGTTTTATTTTGCCCACCATTCCTGCCAAAGCCTATATATATGTATATATATATCACGGCTGTTTCACTCAATATAAAAGCGAGCTTGACGTTACAATTATTTTTGTGTTTATCAAAAAAAAAAGTATTTCTGCAAAAAAAAGTTTAAAAATGCACTAACTTTAAAATAATAGTGTTTTTTTCCTATAAGCGTTTTCATCTTCAAATAAAAAAAACATAAAAAAATCTTTTTTTTTTAAATAAATATTTACATTAAACAGAATAAAAATATTAATGTTTAAATATTGCTAATGATTTGGGATCATTTTTCTGTTTTTTGTGACTTTTACAGAAAACCTGTCTTGGGTCAACTAAGATTTCATAACATAGCTACATGCGTCATGGTTGAAATTTGGAACATTTATAAATAAATGTCTATTCTATCTAATTTTTGGTGCGGATTGCTTATTTTTTATTTTTTAACTATTTTTTAATGTGTTAATATTTTTAATTATATTATTAAATAATGAAAATCGTATTATTTTTGTAATCCGCATCAAATTATTGAAATTTCAACTCTTTCTTCATATAAAAATCAAAAAATTGTTTGCTGTACCTCTAGCCTGTACTTCTTTGCTGTACCTCTAGTTTGCTGTACCTCTTGCTGTACCTCTTAAAAACGTGCTCATTTAACAGCTAATCCCCACTTTAACAACATTTTTCATAATTTTGCAAGAAATGCGGTTTGCTTGCAGACTTTAATAAAGACTGTTTTAGTTTTCCTTTAACAATTAAGTAAGATTTTTTTATTTTATTAATAGTTAAACAATGAGTGTATTTAATAATAACTATCAGAAATATATTTTTCTGATTTTTTTTTGATAAAAAATAACAACAAATTACTAAAATTTAACCAAGTTCATCATTTGTTGCGTTTTTTATAAACTAAAAGAAGTTTTTTTACTATTGTATTAAATGTAGTATGATAAAGCATTTTATTGTTGTTTTTATTTCTTTTACAAAACAAAATTATCTCTAATATTTCAAAAGTTATAAATGTTTTAGTAACGCCCCCTAAGTCAAATTTTTCAAAAAAAACAAGAAGCCGTAAAGCTCACTCTGAAACAGCCGTGATATATGTATATATATATATATATGTATATATATATATATATATATATATATATATATATATATATATATATATATATGTATGTATGTATATATATATGTATATATATATATGTATATATATATATATATATATATATATATGTATATATATATATGTATATATATATATGTATATATATACATGTATATATATATGCATATATATATGTATATATATGTATATATATATGTGTATATATATATATGTATACCCTTTTTAATAAAATCCTGCATGGGCTTTTTAGAGCCATCACGACCCTGAAAGTAAGTAACATTTAAAGTAAAGTTCACAAATAGTGGAATTATAAGGTAGTTATATAAATATAAAGCAGTATTACTAAAATGCTAATTTTCAACGCCATTGTAAATATGGGATGTTTAAAACTTTGTTTATGTGTTTAGTGAGCTATAGTTAATTTATATTTTCATCTATATTTTGCTTATTTATAGATAATGAAAGTTAACAACCTTTATTGTCTTATTTATAACATTTATTGCTAACTTGTTTCCAGCTTATGTAACTATGTAGCTGTAATCTTCATGAACAAATTGGCATGTGTGTGGTTACAAATGTTGCTAACCAGTTGCTAGCCAATTTCCTATTGGATGATTTTAAAAAGTATTTTTTTGTAATATAAATAATTTTTAACATTAAAAGAATATATAAAAAAATATTTTATTATAAAAATTTATTTACTCCACAAATGTTAAGTTCAGATGATTATGATAAAAACTCATATTAAACAGCAAAATTTAAAAAAATAGTTCCGCTTTTTAGTTTTGAAATTAATTTGACTAAGTATTGATAGAATTTAGATCTTTTAGGATTTGTTCAAGCAATAAAATTTTCATGTAAATTGTTTCAAAAAAAGTTTTTTTTACAAAAAAATATATTATTATTACAATAATAATATATTATTATTACATTAATAATATATTATTATTATTACAATAATAATAATATATTATTATTATTATTGTAAAAACATTGATACTAAACAGTATTTATACAATTAAAACTAATATAAAATATTTAACATAACAAATATTTAACATGCTTTTAGAATTAAAATTTCATGCATTATTGGGGTTTAAAAGCAATGCTCAAGGTTATTTATAACTGCAGTTAATATTGGTTAATACACCACTGCAGTTATAAATGGTTAGAATTTTTTTAGACTCAAAAATAATGGTTTTAAATCTTGTAATAAAATAATTCAAAAACATTCATATTTAGATTCAACCGTGCGTCTTTGATTAATACAGGCTTTTTGATTGCACGAAATGAATCATGTGATTATATTGCAATGCATGATGTAGACCTCATGCCATTAAATCCTAATTTAAACTACAACTACCCTGAACTTGGTCCATTTCATGTTGCTGCTCCAAACCTTCATCCAAAATACCATTATTCTACATTTGTTGGTGGTATTTTGCTATTATCTGTGGATCAATTTGAGGAGGTCTTCAATGTTTATCTTTATGTTTATTCATGGAAACAATTTTAATTCAGATAAAGAAAGAATTTGTTTTTGTCATTTGTAGCTAAATGGTCTGTCAAATATATTTTGGGGTTGGGGTCGCGAAGATGATGAGTTTTACATGAGAATTTCTGATAAAGGTTTCAAGGTAGTTTAAACTTTACTTTTTATAAAGCTATTTTATGTTCTTTTTATTGAATTAAGTTCTTTTTATTGAAAATTTTTTAGTCAATTTGTTAATATAGATTAAGTTCTAGATAAATTAATTGAATAATAATTTGTTTAAAAAGCAGTGTCAAAGTTTGATGTGCCAAAAAGTTTTAAGAATATACATAAACTTAGTCAGTCAAAAGTTAGAGATCTTTGTGAAAATATATAGTATAAAATTTAATGAATAAATTACCATTTAAAGATATTTGTAAAATCAGTTCAAGTTACTTACTAAAATTACTTTTTTTTAATAACAGAAAAAGAATTTAAAAATACACTATGTACACAAGATAAAAATTATTTTAAAAATTTTAATTTAATGTCTCTATATATTTTTTTTATAATCCTGAAAAATTAAAAAAAAAATTTTTATCAATTTTTTTATTAGAGCTAAGGCATTAGAGCTACAAAATTGTTTATGGTTTAAATGGTTTTTTTCAAGTATCTTTTAAAACATTCCGCATTTACTACTATACTATTCCAGCTCATTCCATAAAAGCGTTATAGGTCACGGGCACCTTAAAGGTCACCTAAGATAAGCAAAATCCAAATCAAAAACGAAATGCTAATCTTTTGACACATTGATTGTGAAATAATAATGGTTAAAGCCCTGGGTTTACAAAAATTGTATAAGACGTAACGTAAACATATTTCAATTATTTATCAGATAGAAGAATAATAGTTGTGGGGTATAGGCATATTTGAGAGTTATTGAAAAAAAAGTACAAGTTGTTTTAAAATAGTTTTCTTCTTATAAAACTTAACTTTATTTTAGCTCATTTATAATATTTCTTCATTAGTTGTATCCCATGATTTTTTTTTTATAGTTATTAAATGACATCAATACAAAAATGTTCTTTCAAACCCTAGTTATAAATGTTATGTTTGGGTTTTCCCTTTGCCGTTACATTTATGTAGAAGAATTTCATTATTTTTTTTAATAAAACGAACCAAAATTTTATAACCAATTAAAAATAACATGATCAATGAGTAAACACTTTAAAAATTCAACTTATATTTATTTTATTTTAAAAACAAAACTAATACCAGTGCTATAAATATAAGATACGTAAATTTCAAAATTATACTGATATTTGTTAAAAACAAGTTCTGCTAATAACATCTTAAAACCCAAAGTACTATTTTTTTTTTGTGGATTTAGTAAGAAATAGGTAAATAACCAATTAAGTAAATCAACCATAAACAAGTGTCCCCTCATTTAAAAAAAATAACCATAAAACAAGTATGTTAAAGAAGAAAAAAAATTATTTTAAATAAGTATAAAATTTTAAAATAAGTATATATAAATATAATAAATATATATTTTTAAAATATAATTGATAAAATTTTTATAACAATATTGCTTCTTTAAAGATATCTCATTTCAAAGACTTACAACAATTTTTAATGTGGTTTAAAATTTAATTACATGGAGGTATTTTAAAATACACAACTGACGAAATTAAACTTTTAAAGGTGTAAATATTTTTATTGAGTAAAGTTACATTTATTCGCTTTGCGCTTTTTTGTTATGCAATAAAATCTCATAATAAGGCCTGATATATATGATTATATATATATATATATATATATATATATATATATATATATATATATATATATATATATATATATATATATATATATTTATGTATATATATATATATATATATATATATATATATATATATATATATATATATATATATATATATATAATATATATAATATATATATACTATATATTTATATTATATATGTTATATATATATTATATATGTTATATATGTTATAAATATTATATATATATAATATATATTAGTGGCTAATTAGTAGCGTAGTGGTCATATTTATATTAAATTTTTTTTTTTTTTTTTTTTTTTTCCGATAGAAATATTCATGCCAACTGTTTGAAGTTATGCTTTTTATGATTTTTGACTAAATTTAGAGCAATTTCCAAGCATTGGTGCAAATAAATTCTGATGTCAAATCCAGTTAATTTGTTTAACAATATTAACTTATTATGTTCCTGTTCCAAAAAAAAACACTGTGCTTATTAATTTAAGAAACATGTTGTATCAATTTTTCACTGATTACGATAAATAAATTAGCACTTTGGCTATTGTAAAGTGATTTTTTGCCAATCTTTTTAGCTTTTTTTCATTCATACGACAAACTTTATAATTTTTACTTCATTTTGGTATTATTTTTTTTTTTAAATACCATTACTGGAGCCTTGGATTTTTGATCTTTTGTGTAAACAAAACTACATCAAAACGTGTTAATGTGATTTAAAAATATATATATACATTTTTTCTGTGGTTATTTTAGGTGCTCCAAGTAGACCTAATGGTCGCATCACAGAGCAGCGCATAAGTGTATTCAACTGGGAAATTTACGCTTGCTTAATGTCAAAAAAAAGCCTAGAGTAGGGATCGAACCACAGATCAGTAAAGGAGCCGGCTTTTTTTTGTGTTTGACATAGCTAACAGACATGGCACAAACTCCAAATATTTGTATGTGTATACTTTTGTCAAGTAATGAAGCTTTGCAAAATATTCCGGTGATTGGAGGCTGGGAAAAAGTGAGATCTCCAAGATCTCTGTCGATGCTAACGCCAGCACCAAACACTTCTATGGTATTACTATTATTTGAATTTCAAATAATAGTAATACCATAAATCTGCAGCAGGCTCATTATACATTATATATTGTTGGTCTTAAAGGTTTAAATTAAAAATAATACAATGTAGATAAAAGACTTAAAATGACACTGCTAAAGTGTCATTTTAAATCTTATTTATATTATATATTAATCTAAATTAGTAAAATAAAGATAAAGATAAGTAGTTTTATCTTTACTTTACTAATTTTAATCTATTATGGTTTTATGACATAAATAGTTTATTCGCCGGCCTAACAGATTTATTTACGGCTACGGCTATATGAAACCTTCCAACATGATACCAGGAGGTTATCAAGAATAATTGTTGGCCAGGAAACTTAGCTAATCTTGTACAAACCCCTTTTAAATAGCCAGTGCTTAAATTGAGTGAACTGTATGAGATCAAAAGCATCTAATAAATTTCTAATTGTAATGTATTGGGCCGCAACGCTATTGTGTTTAAAAACCACATTTTTTTAAATTTCATAACAAATTTGTGCATTTTTAAAATACCACCAGTTAACAAAAATAGTAGTAGTAAAAATGCGCACAATCTGTATAGATAAAAAACCTTCCATTATTTTTAATGACGTTATTATATAGTTAATGATTTGTAAATTTCTACTCGCGCTGATTGTTTGAAAATGCCCTTAAAAACTAAAAAAAAGAAAGGTGATAGAGTGAAAAGGTACTATGCGGAAGCACATAATGGAATGGTCAAACGATTCAAACCTGATTTCATGACAAGTAAGTGAATTGATGCGTATGTATAGCCAAGCATGTGACTATTGGAGTCTTTGCGAATTAAAGGATAGTATCCATCAACACTGAGATAAGAAGAAGGAATAGCAGAATTTAAATTAGTCTCACTAAGAGCAAGCAAGTTTGGTGAATTTTGAAAGAGGAAAAATATAACTGATGGAAGGTTGCTTTGCAGACCACAAATATTATTGTAAGATAATATTAAAACAGTTAAGTGGTGGTGATGGTTTTTTTATGTTTAATATTTAGGGTTACTTTTGTCATGATTCAAGTTTGAAGTGAACTTGAATCATTCATAGATAGAGCACGACCTCCTAAGTAATGAGCTATGCAATTTTCTCAGTTCTGTTAAATGACCCTAAAGTCAATTATCAGGGCTTGACTTTAAGTTGTAATATAGGGCTTCTTATGTGGCCTTAACAATTTGTACCAAAAGCATTAACAGGAACACCATCCATGCGCAACATGGCACTGTTAATACTCTGATATTTTGCAGCTGTTGATGGAATCAGCCTCTCTGAGTTACCACAGATTTCAGAAAACCTTACTACCAGCCAGCATCAAAACCATTAAACTGAGTTTTAAAGCTGTGCCCTCATATCAAGGATGCACAAGCAAAAATCTATGAGAAGAGTCAATAAGATCCAGCATTTATTATCCTAGGCATGAAACAATATAACACAGGTTTAAATCTACACCAGCCTAATAGATAAAGAAGGGGTTCAAGGCTGGTTAGCAGAATTATTCAGCTTATCCCTAAAATCTTTGCCTGAGAGGCTTCCTACAGGACAGCAGCATGATGCAGTTAACATTGCTTAAGATAAGTATTTTTTATCAAGACACCATTTCTAGCCTTTACTCAGCCAAGACCCCCAAAACAGGAGATTTTTAAATTGGAGTTTGTTTCTCCGAGCCTTTACCTAAAAAAGCACATTTTATAAGGCAGCTGGGCATGGGGGCAGTTAGTACTAGGTTACATAATACCAGTAGCAGTGTGATCGTGGTGATCCTGAATCTGACCTGACCTGGAATCGCAAAAGTATTGAACTCATTAAAAGTAATTAACAAAAGTCAATTTAAAGAAACTGGTGGCATTCATCCCGAGTGATTTTTCATAACATTTATCAAAGTTATCAAATCAGTTTTTTTTCATGAGAGAAAGAGCACTTAAATATTAATACTTGTCATTTAAATAAGAAAATGAAAAAATGTTTTTGAAATTTTTACTTATACTTCTTGCATTTATGCGTATTGTCTTATTTTTATAAGGTTGAATTTTTAAAATGCTGCAAAGTATTTACGTTGAAATCTTTAAAAAAAATTTTGGTGAAAAAACTGCTATTCCAGTTTAGAAGGGAGAGGGAGTTCAGGTATATGTGATTGTTTGTGATATGAGGAAAGGGGTTAAAAATTGACAAATATAGAGTGACGTACATTATGGATAACCCCCTTAATTGCATTTACAACCAATTTGTTTTACAAAATCAAAAATGTTCAGTAAATAAAAATTACATGATGTAATTCATTGTAAGCAACAAAAACTTAACAAAAAAGTGTCTAATCGGAATTTTAATAAATTTTAACTTACGTTACACAGATTTAAAATAAAAATGTGCTTTGACTAAACATCATTATTCAAAACTTTAAACATTTAATATTTAATCACATATATTATTAAAAAACTTAAGTTTTTTAACTAAATTTTTGAAAAAACAATACTTTATTGTGTTTTGGTTAACTTAAGTTACAAAAAAGTTGCTTTTGTTATTTTCTTGAAATATATTTTTTATAAGGTATAAAATCTAATCAACATCAATTTAAACATTTTAGCTCCATTTTTCTGCTAAATTAATTCGGATTATGCAAATAAATTCATGGTTAAAATAATATTTTACAATGATACTTTTTTTATTGTGCCACAATGTGAAAAAGCGTAACTTTCGGAGCTTAAAAATGAATTAACTAAATTGATTTTAGTATTAAAGGTATATATCAAATAAACTTTTATGTGTCTACATCAATATCCATTTGCTAAAAGTTGGCAAAAAAGAGAATAAAATTTGACTACTTTTTCATTTTTCATATATATATATATATATATATATATATATATATATATATATATATATATATATATATATATATATATATATATATATATAAATATATATATATATATATATATATATATATATATATATATATATATATATATATATATATATATATATATATATATATATATATATATATATATATATATATATATATATATATATACACAGCCTGCAAAATTTAGGTCAGCATTTGGTAATGCGGATGCAAAAGCCAGCATCTTTGTTTTACGGTGGCATACAACTGTCAACCTTAATCTCGTAAAGTGTCGCATGCAAAAGTTCATTTACATGTTTCTGGTTTTATTAATTTAAGTTTAGAAAGTCTATTAAGTTTAGTCCTTGGTACACAAAAAGCAACAACAACAACTTTATTTTCCATAAAACATTTTTACAATAGAATTAATAATAGTAATAACAATATTAATAGTAATAATAATAATATAAGATAAAAAAATTAATATAAATTAGTAATAGTAGTAATAAGTATGTTTGCAATAATTACAATGAGAAAAAAAAAACATAATGAATATTATAATGGTTGTTATAAAGCATGAAATTGTTTATAATAATAAGTTAATGATTTATTAGGATGGTTTTACTCATACAGAAATCTGATCAAAGGAATGAACCAATATCAAAGGAGTGACATTAATTAAAAGGACTGCCATCAATATAAGTAAATAGTAATTGTATGTATAATAATAATGGTACTGTTTGTTAGCATGAAAGATGTTAATTAAAAAACATTAAATGTTTTTTTTAATTTAATACAAGTTAAAGTTTTCATTAAATCCACTTAAGAAAATAAGAAATGCAAAAGTGTTAAACAAAGCTAAGTTAAACACAAGGTATTATGACTTGTTTTGAGTTTAACAAGTGTTAAACTCAAAATAAGTCATAATGCCTAACAGAACTATTATTGAAAAATGGGGGTTTAAATGATTTATATGAAGTAAGTCTGATTTGAAGTAAAACTTGTTGAGAATATTCAGAGCTTTTTAAAAACTGTCACAATAAAAAGGGCTGCGATAAATTAACAAATTTTCTAACTGAAGAGTGTTTTATTATTTATTTTATTTTTATTTTATTTCAAAGAGTTTATATTTGTAAAGCAGCCGTAGCGTTGTGGTTAGAGTGCTTGCTTTAGAAGCAAGATTTCCATGGTTGGAAGTGAGCTCTGTGCATATTCTGCGTCATCAATCAGGAAGGGGGAACTTCTTAGTTTAACTTCCTCTGTACTCTGTGATAAGACTGATAGGTTTTCTAAGGTACATATATATATATATATATATATATATATATATATATATATATATATATATATATATATATATATATATATATATATATATACACACATATATTAGGTTTTGTTATTTTAGTTAGGGATCATCCATAAATTACATAACGCAAACTTTCACAATAAAAAAAAACAAAAAAGATCAAAATGCTTTCTCTCCCAGAGTCTTAATTTAAATTAAAGTTTAATGAAAATGGCCGTAAAAGAGCCTAATATCTCCTACTTTTGCTTTTTAAATATATATTTGGGTTGCATAATTTATGGACGATCTCTTATCATTTTATAATTATTAACTGTCATTTTAAAGGTTTATCGACATGGTGATGAAATTCTTACTGGTTTTAATACTTTCAAGCATTTTCATGGACCGGAGCGTAAACGTGACTATGTCAAGCTTCCTGGTCAAAAAAAGGTGTGTTTAATGTTAAATGACTGATGACTTAATGCAATAACTTTAACAAAAAAAAAATTTGGATAAATTTTTTTTCTATTTAAAAAAAGAATAATAACTTAATTAATAACTTGATACATTAACTTATTGAATACTTAAATTTTATTATTATTTTTAAATATTTTAAAAAAGGAATGTCAAAATAACTTTTATTTTATTTTTAGTTTTTCCCCTGTGTTGTCAGCCCTGTTATTTCAAAATCAAAAATTTTAAAGTGTTTTATAAAGTGTGAATATGTTTTAAAGAATTTTGTACAAAAATGTTTCTAAAATGTTTTAGAAAAAAAAGATTTTGTGATATTTTTTTATAAAGTAAAAATATATCACAAAGTTATATCTGCTTTTCACAGAAATCTCATTCAGGAACTAGAAATGATTTCCTTGAACTAAAACATTTGTTTTTAAATTAGCAATAAAAAGAATGTTATTTAAGGTTCAATTGCTGAAAACTTGTTACCAATAAAACAGTAACAAGTTTTTTTAAAAAATTATTTAAATTTAACTTGTTAAGACTAACAGATGTTTAATAAAAATCTGTGAAAATTATAAATTGCTATTATTCAAGTTTTTAAACTAAAAATTAAATAGAAATATATTTATATAGAGTATTAGTTCCTTTAATAGTTTCAATATTAAGCTTATTCTATCAGTCTATTATTTATAATTTTTGCAATTCCAGTACAAGTTGACTTGGCTAGGTCTTTCACAAGGTTTTATTTTTTGCATAGATAATTCCCTTTAGAATACTCCAAAAATCCTCAATAGACGATATTCAAAATTTATTTTAATTCTGGATATTAAGAAACTTGAATCTTTTGTGCATATTTTACACAAAAAAGTAGATATAGAATAAACAAACAGTAAAAGAAGTAACAGTGCATTTAGTTTAATTTAATTCTTTGTTTATTATAGCTTTCTTGTGTTGTCATTGGTTGTTCCAACCACTCAACAAAATTTAAAAAGTGTTAGGTTACATAAAGTTTTCATCAACTCTTTAACTTAAAGACCGACGTTTACAATACTTTGACAAAAAAAGATACAAATTGAGCATCAAGTCGAGAAAAGTATTCACAAATAAAAATGGGGATATCAAGTTTGTCTTTTTCATTAGACATAGATGAACCATGCTGTCTTATGAATTGATGAACTTGATATCTTGTATGTGTTGACATATTATTAATAACATTATTAAACTAAAAAAAAAATTAAAAAGATATATCTTGTAATTGTTGACATATTACTCATAACAATATTAGACTAAAATAAAAATTAAAAAGGTTTATATATTTGTATATATTTGTGTATATGTATACATATATACATATATACATACATACATACATACATACATACATACATACATACATACATACATACATACATACATACATATATATATATATATATATATATATATATATATATATATATATATATATATATATATATATATATATATATATATATATATATATATATATATATATATATATATATATATATATATATATATATATATGTATAGCTAGATAAATAATTTTATGAAAGCATATATGTATAGCTTTCAAAATAAGCATAAGAGATAAAGGGCAAAATAGAGCACAAATTTTTTCTTGTTGTCTTTTCAAAATAAAAGTATGAAAAAAGGACATTTGTTACCAAAAATTATATCCAAAACCAGTTTAAAATTTTTTTTTATTCTTTTTTCTTTATAAATTTTATATATTAACAATTATCTGATTATTTAATAAAAATATTTAATCATTATATCAAAAATTGTTATAAAATAATTTAAATTTTCAGACATTTATTTTTATATATTTGTCCACCTATTAGGGATTAATTAATTTTCAGACATGGATTATCTTTTTCCGCATATTTCCGGAATTCCGGATATTTTTCTTAACTTTTAGTTTTTCCGAATATCCAAAACGTTTTCTATACATACAAGTTTAGGTATATATTTTTGTAATATATTTGTTTTTTAAGTTTTTTCACTCATCACTCATACAAAAATTAAAAAATGTTTGAAATAAAAATGGTAGCAACTCAACAAAATTAAGAGGAATATTAGGGAAAATATATTCTGGATTTTTTCCGGATTTTTAAAATATGACCTGGATGATCAATGACCTATTGGCCTACTGTGCAGTCAAGGAATCAACTATTTTTTATATATAATTGTGATTACAACGCTCTCTCAACTCTTTAACTTCAAAACGCGAACCTTAACAATCAAGATCGCTGCGCGGAAAAACAAATTAATTGACGTGAACAACCAGTAACGTGAAAAAACAATTTGAAAAAAATAATATTTTACTTATTCAAGGCTTCATACAATCAATGTAATATATATTTTTGGATAATATATATTTTTCATATTAGTTCACCAAATTTGAAATATTATATTAAAACCAGACGGATGCAGAATAAGATACTGTTTATTTGCAGCTCTCAAAAGTGGAGTCGAATCTAGAGGAAAAGGCAGTAAAAATGATTTGTTAAAATTCAGTTTCAATTGAGAATCTGAGATCTATAAAAGTCTATGAAAACATTTGCAAAAATTTATAAAAATCCTTCTCTAACTCACATGTTGTCATGTTTTAGAAATATTCCTTGGGTAGTTATGGAAAACCTTTTTTCAAAAACAGATAAAACATGTTATATTATATATTTTAAAATTATTAAAACCAAATGTTATTATACATTTTTTTAAAATTATTAAAATGGCTTCACTAGAGAAGCTTTTATCTTACAACTTCCGTATGATATCGATAAGTTTTTCTTAAAAAAATGCAAATGAAATTTGCATTTACTTTTAAAAAGTTTTAAAAGGCTAAAAATGAAAATAATCGAATCGAATTCGGTATTACTCAATGTTTTCATCTAGTTTTTGTTTTAAATAGTTTATTCTTATGTGTAAAAGGTCATGTTTTTTTTTTTTTGCAGACGTGCGATCTTCACAAAATTTTGTTTTTGGCCTGCTCTTAATATATTTATTGTTTATTTTTTTGCAATTTTTTTTTAAGAGTCGTGCTTTCGATATTTTAGGCTATGTTTTCGCGAGATCGTGTCACTGGATTAAGCACACTTGAATACAACATTGTGAAAAGACAAGAAATTTATATAGACGGTTATCATTGCTCTGTTATAGACGTGGAACTTAAATGCGATTTAAATGCTACCCCATGGTGCGATCTTCCAGTATCAACGTAAAAAGAAAAGAAAAAGAAAATCAATTTCAATTTTAAGTTTTAATTTTATTTATTATTTATTTTGTATTTATTATCAGAATATAAGTTTTCAAAAATAATGATATTTACATGTTTCCCGGCGGTCATATTAGCTTTTAAAACTCCCAAAAGGAGTTTTAACAGCTAATATGACCGCCGTTTTTTTTAAAGCAATTCCAAAGTTTTCATCAAAACTTGGTCCACAAATGAGTTTTTTATCAAAATCACAAATGAGTTTTTTTATCAAAACTTGGTCCACAACTGAATTTCTTTTTTGAAAAAATTGCCAATTATTATATTCTTTAACATTAAATTAGGGCTATTAATATATTCTTTAAGTATATTTTTTTTCGAGAAATTAAAGTTTAAGCATGTCATTCGTTTTTTTATATAATTTGCTCGTAAAAAGTTATAAAGAAATTAAAAATCGCTTTATTTAAAAAACTTTTCTTAAAGTTATCAGCTTGACTACATTACGACAAACATAAGGATTAACCTTTAGCTGACATTATCTTACTCAGAGCATTTAAAATCTTTTTTTTTTTTGCTCACTAATCCCTTAAAATTAATATTGAAACGAGCATCAGTAAAAAAGGCAACCGTAAAATTGACTTTCCCATTGAAGTTAAACTTTGCTTTATATTTAGGTTTCAATAAGGATATCTATTTTTAATAAGTTTAAAGTTCTTTGTGGAATATTTATCTATAGCAACTTCTGAACCCGAGAAATGTAAGATATACCTGAGCTGATTATTTTTATAATCTTTGAATGTTTTTAAGAGTATGGCACTTTTATACATAACTATATTAAAACAATTTGATGTAACAGTCAACAAATAATACGTGCAGTGACACTGCCCCGTCACAAACAAAACAAAAATGCCCAATGCTTAGCTAACATTGGCACTTTAATAAAGCAGGTCGAAGCCCTCAAAATAACTAAATGTCGCCGAATATTTGGTGCTTCGGCCGAGCGCCTAGCCTAATATTTGGTGTTGGGCAAAATCACTAATGGTGACATCTCAACTAATGATAATTTTATTATTATTGCTATTATTATCATTATTATTATTATACGAGTTTTATAGCATTACAATGTATTATTTAAGTTTTTACTAATGGGCTCTATGAAAAGATTGTGATAACGTAATATCATCCTTTTCTTCTTTGTGCCCCAATCAGCTTTTTTTTAAATTATTATTATTGTGGTTATTTAGGTGCTGCCAGAAGTCCTTACAGCTTTATCACAGAGCACCGCGAAACGTGCATTGTAAAAATAGTGTTTATACTATATTAAACAGAAAAAAAAGTAGAAATAAAAAAAGTACAATTAAAGGTACCTCAAATACTCTTAGACCCCAAAAGCAACCACTCATATTTGTACTTGTAAATTATCAGAGGTTTATCAAAGGTGCAAAATAATATAATTTTCATGGACAATATTATTTTTTAAAAGAAAACTGTTGAAAATACCAGCCAAGCCTAAATTTTAGAAAATTATACTGAATAAAAAAAATTTATAGCTTTTTAGTATAATAGTCTACAAAAACTTGAAATTTGCATTAAAGTTTGCAAAGTTTGTTAGTCATTTCTGCAAAAAAAAAGCCATTAAAAAATACATTGAAAGAACAGAAAGAACAGCGGCTAATATAGTTTTAATCACTTAATGTATTATTTCCGTGTTTGGTTTTAGGGTCTAAAATCAAAAACTTGATTTATACTGGAAGTTGCTTTTCTCTTTTAACAATCAAGTGAAATATCAAGTAAGTTTTTATAAACCAACTTTTTTAAGTATATCTGCTATATTTATGTTTATATTATAACATTATAACTTTGAATTCGGTAAATCCTTGTGGAACAAAAAATTATAAGCTAGGAACATTATCTGTGTTATGGATAAGAACTATGGACACTGGCGCATCCTTTTAACTGAGCCAAATAGAGATTGGTAAAATATATCCTGTGTTCCAATTGTTTTGTATTGCCTAAATCAATGAACATTTGAATGATGCCAAGGATATGATAACGGCAATCGTGATGACAAACTTTTATTATCCAGGGATCCTTCTTGACGGATCTGACGATCATAGAATCCTCTCTAGAAGTGGTGGAATGCGGTCTTCCACCTTTGTTATCTGCTGCCAAATTCCCCGGAACGATATTTGGAACATAGTCTTGATACAGTCTATTTTTTAACGCGATATTCAACACTTCACACGCGATATGTTTCAACACGCGATATGTTTCAACACTTCATCTTTCCTATAATAAACCAACCAACCCGGGTAACATTAAACTCAATCACTGCAATAGACAACATTTTGACTAATTCATTTTACAATTCTTCATTAAAAGCAGGTGTAATCAAAACGGATATATCCGATCACTTTCCGATATACTTTTCCTTTTTTCAAGATACAAAAAATAATAACTCTAAAATCAAAGTCTTTAAACGAAAAATTAATAATTTTACTATTCAACAGTTTAAAGACTCACTATCGGCAGTGAGGTGGGACAGGATTTACCAAGAATGCAACCTTGGGCATACTAACTCTGCTTATAATGAATTTATAGAAATATTCTTAAAGCACTATGATAATCACTTCCCTATAATAGAACAAGAATTAAAAGTAAAATATTTACAATGTCCATGGATTACTAGAGGTATAAAAAAATCTTCAAAAAAAAAAAAAAACTTTACATCAAGCATTTAAAAAATAGAAATGAAAAAAATCTAAATACTTACAAACGACACAAAAATTTATTTGAAAAAATAAAAAAAAGTTCGAAGAAAAATCACTACTCTAACCAAATAAAAAATGCAACTGGTGACATTAAAAAACATGGAATACGATAAAAGAAATAATTGAGAACAAAAAAGTTAAATCAAATAGTTTACCTGCTCTAATCATCATAGACAATATAGAGTACAGCCACAAAAATACGATTGCTGAAAAATTCAACGAATTTTTTGTTAATATTGGCCCTAATCTTGCCTCAAAAATTAAATCTCCTAATAATTTATTTAAATCATACCTAAGTGATACCCAGAGCGAACTAAAATACAAAGAACTATACTACCAAGAACTTGGTATTGCTCTTTAAAATTAAATAAAACTCCAGGTATAGATGATATCTGTAGTAGGGTAGTGGCAAATGTCTTTGCAACAATAAATAAACCTATATTTGAGTCGTCGATTAAAACAGGAGTTGTACCGGACAAGTTAAAAGTAGCTAAAGTAGTACCAATATTTAAAACAGGTGAATCATACTTAATTAATAACTATAGACCTATCTCGGTACTCCCTACCTTTTCTAAGCTTCTCGAAAGAATAATCTATAGCAGATTGTATGAGTATTTAATCCAAAATAAAATCTTAAATAAAAAGCAATTTGGTTTCCAAAAACAACATTCAACTGATCAAGCAGTTCTAGATCTAGTTAACAACATAAGTGATTCTTTTGATAAAAAACAGTATGTTGTCGGCATCTTTATAGACCAGTCGAAGGCGTTTGATACTGTAAATCACAATATCTTACTTAAAAAAATGGAAAGCTATGGGATAAAAAGCATAACCCTTCACTGGTTCAAAAACTAACTAATCTAAGTAACAGACAACAATGTCTCTTTTCAGATAATTATAAACACTCAAAACTACTAAGAGTTGAGTGCGGTGTCCCCCAAGGTTCCATTCTTGGACCTCTTCTGTATCTTCTATATATTAATGACCTTACAAAAGCCTCGGAAAAACTTGATGTAATTATGTTTGCCGATGATACAAACTTATTTTATTCATCGAACTCAATCAAAGACCTTTATGAATGTATGAACAAAGAGCTTAAAAGATTAAATTTATGGTTGAAATTAAATAAGTTATTACTAAATTTCATTCCAAAAAACAAAAAAATAATATACCAACTACCCTTCCCTCACTAAAAATAGATAAGGTAAATATTGAAAGAACAGAAACAACTAAATTTCTTGGGATACGAAAATATATCTTGGAGAGCCCATATAAGTTCAATTAACACCAAAATTTCAAAAAATATTGGCATACTCTACAAGGTTAAACCTATGTTATCCCAACATAATCTTAAATCGCTTTATTTTTCTTACACCCAAAGTTATCTTACATACGCTAATATTACATGGGCAAGTACACACAAATCCAAATTGAGTACTATTTACATAAGTCAAAAACATGCATCAAGATTAGTTTATAATAAAGATAAACTGACCCATGCTGAACCCTTACTAAAAACCTTGAATGCACTGTTTACCAAATCAACATCTACCAAAATGTTCTATTTATGCTTAAATACAAACTTGAACTAGTCCCATCGCATTTCTTAGATAACTTCTTTCAAGTAAACTCTAATAGGTATATGACAAGAGCAACAGGCAACTTCACACTGCCCAATAGAACAACAAAGTTTTCACGGTTTTCTATTTCCTACCGGGGTCCGTACCTATATAACAAAATCATATCCAAAAATATCGAACTTAAAGTATTAAATAATGCTGCCAACTTGAAAAATAAATTAAAACACCTCATACTTAATACCAACAATTATATCGACATGTATTAAACTTAACATTAAAATTTATATTAAAATATTTATGTGTATCCCTGATTGTATATTGTTTAACCACTTTTGACTATATATAAAAATAAAATAGACTTTATTTAACCTTTTAAAGAGGTACTCGATGATAAGTCTTCATAGACTTCTACAAGATTTCCTTTACAACAACATGTATATATCTGAAGTACCAAAAAAATGTCTTGTCTGTTTTTTTTCTTTTCTTATTTTTATTTTTTTATTTTTTAAAAATACTGGTAACATTTATGATAAGAAACATTATTAATTTACGCTATACTTGGATATACTTGTTAAACCAATTTTTATTATGCTATGTTATACGTGGTATTATTATCTTATATTTTTAGGTGAGATTATATTATGCCATGTAGTTATAACGTAACGAT